TGGAACTATCATTTTCTTTGATCAGTAAGGCTGTGAGGTATCACTACAAACATCAGAATTGTAGTCTGTCTCACCTATGTCTTCACATAGATCTGCTTCACCAGGAGTGCTGGTGGCTGTGAGGCATCACGAGTCTGTCTCACCTATGTCTTCACATAGATCTGCTTCACCAGGAGTGCTGGTGGCTGTGAGGCATCACGAGTCTGTCTCACCTATGTCTTCACATAGATCTGCTTCACCAGGAGTGCTGGTGGCTGTGAGGCATCACGAGTCTGTCTCACCTATGTCTTCACATAGATCTGCTTCACCAGGAGTGCTGGTGGCTGTGAGGCATCACGAGTCTGTCTCACCTATGTCTTCACATAGATCTGCTTCACCAGGAGTGCTGGTTGCTGTGAGGCATCACAACAACCATCAGTAAGGCATCACTACAAACATCAGAATTGTAGTCTGTCTCACCCATATCTAAACCATGACTCTTGCTGAGTCTCTCAAACTGAAAACAAGAGTCATCAGAAGATGATATATCCCCCCAACCCCACATCTTTGAAAGAACAAATCATCTGACAGTTTCTTAAAGTCCAGCTTGATTTTAGACTAAGTGCAAATCGTTTCATGGAAATCATGAAAATAATTCATGACAAAAATCTGCAAATAGCAAAAGGCACCACTTCAAGATCTGCCTCACATATCTGCCAAGTTTTACTGAAAGATATTAAGAAGTTTTCGAGTTGTGCTCCGGAAACAAACCCACCCCTCCTTTTGGGACTAAGTACGAATCGTTTCCATAGAAACCGGAAAAATAAAAATGGCCAAAAATCTGCAAATAGCAAAAGGCATCACTTAAGGTTCTGTTTGATATGTCTACCAAGTCTTGTTTAAATATATTGAACGGTTCTTGAGTTATGCTCCGGAAACGAAGCCCACCCCTCCCTTTTGAGATTAAGTTCAACTTGTTTCCATGGAAACCAAGAAAAATAGAAATGCCAAAAATCTGCAAACACCACTTAAGTTTCTGTTTGATATATCTATCAAGTTTTGTTGAAAAAATATTGACGAAACCAATCTCTCCTTTTTGAGACCAAGTCCCAAGCCTTTCCATGGAAACCGGAAAAATAAAATGGCCAAAACAAGAGTCATCAGAAGATGACATATCCCCCCGGCCCCACATCTTTGAAAGAACAAATCATCTGACAGTTACTTAAAGTCCAGCTTGATTTTACACTAAGTGCAAATCGTTTCCATGGAAATGATGAAAAACATAAATGACAAACATCTGCAAACAGCAAAAAGGCACCACTTCAAGATCTGCCTCACATAGCTGCCAAGTTTTACTGAAAGATATTAAGAAGTTTTTGAAACGAAACCCACCTCTCCCTTTTGAGACTAAGTCTAAATCGTTTCCATGGAAACCTAGAAAATTAAAAAAGACAAAAATCTGTAAATAGCAAAAGGCACCACTTTGGGATCTGCCTCACATATCGGCCAAGTTTTGCTGAAAGATATTGAGAAGTTTTTGAGTTGTGCTCTGGAAACGAAACCTACCCCTCCCTTTTGAGACTAAGTCCGAATCGTTTCCATGGAAACCGGGAAAATTAAAAATGACAAAAATCTGCAAATAGCAAAAGGCACCACTTAAGGTTCTGTTTGTTATATCTACCAAGTTTTGTTGATAAATATTGAACGGTTCTTGAGTTATGCTCTGGAAACGAAGCCCACCCCTCCCTTTTGAGACTAAGTCCGAATCGTTTCCATGGAAACCGAGAAAATAATAATCACAAAAGTCTGCAAATAGCAAAAGGCACCACTTTGGGATCTGCCTCACATATCTGCCAAGTTTTGCTGAAAGATATTAAGAAGTTTTCGAGTTGTGCTCTGGAAACGAAGCCCACCCCTCCCTTTTGGGACTAAGTTCAATTTGTTTCCATGGAAACCAGGAAAATTAAAAATGCCAAAAATCTGCAAATAGCAAAAGGCACCACTTAAGGTTCTGTTTGATATATCTATCAAGTTTTGTTGAAAATTGATATTGAGTTATGCTCTGAAACCAATCTCACCCTCCCTTTTGAGACCAAGTCCCAAGCCTTTCCATGGAAACCGGGAAAAATAAAAATGGCCAAAATCTGCAATTAGCAAAAGACACCACTAAAGGTTCTGTTGATATATCTACCAATTTTTGTTGAGAAAAATATTGAACGGTTCTTGAGTTATGCTTCGGAAACGAAGCCCACCCCTCACTTTTGGGACCAAGTCCGAACCGTTTCCATGGAAACCGAGAAAAATAAAAATGACAATAATCTGTAAATAGCAAAAGGCACCACCTTAGGTTATGTTTGACATATCTACCAATTTTTGTTGAAAAATATCGACCGGTCTTTGAGTTATGCTCCGGAAACCAAATGATTACGGACGGACAGATGGACAGACGGACGAGGCGACGACTATATCCCCCCGCATTACATGCCATGGGGATTACAAATGTTCAAAGCAATCCTGTTGAAATATTAAAACAAGAGTCATCTGAAGATGACATATTCCCCCGGCCCCCACATCTTTGAAAGAACGAATCATCTGACAGTTATTTAAAGTCCAGCTTGATTTTACACTAAGTGCAAATCGTTTCCATGGAAATGATGAAAAACATAAATGACAAAAATCTGCAAATAGCAAAAGGCACCACTTCAAGATCTGCCTCACATAAATTGCAAGTTTTACTGAAAGATATTAAGAAGTTTTTGAAACGAAATCCACCCCTCCCTTTTGAAACTAAGTCTAACTCGTTTCCATGGAAACCTAGAAAAATAAAAAAGACAAAAATCTGTAAATTGCAAAAGGCACCACTTTGGGATCTGCCTCACATATCTGCCAAGTTTTGCTGAAAGATATTAAGAAGTTTTTGAGTTGTGCTCCGTAAACGAAACCTACCCCTCAATTTGAGACTTAGTCCGAATCGTTTCCATGGAAACCGGGGAAAATAAAAATGCCCAAAATCTGCAAATAGCAAAAGGCACCACTTAAGGTTCTGTTTGATATATCTACCAAGTTTTGTTGAAAAATACTGAACGGTTCTTGAGTTATGCCTCGGAAACGAAGCCCACCCCTCCCTTTTGAGACTAAGTCCGAATCGTTTCCATGGAAGCTGAGAAAATAATAATCACGAAAGTCTGCAAATAGCAAAAGGCACCACTTTGGGATCTGCCTCACATATCTGCCAAGTTTTGCTGAAAGATATTAAGAAGTTTTCGAGTTGTGCTCCAGAAACGAAGCCCATCCCTCACTTTTGGGACTAAGTCCAAATCGTTTCCATGGAAACCAAGAAAAATAGAAATGCCAAAAATCTGCAAACACCACTTAAGGTTCTGTTTGATATATCTATCAAGTTTTGTTGAAAAATATTGACGAAACCAATCTCTCCTTTTTGAGACCAAGTCCCAAGCCTTTCCATGGAAACCAGGAAAAATAAAAATGGCCAAAATCTGCAAATAGCAAAAGACACCACTAAAGGTTCTGTTTGATATATCTACCAATTTTTGTTGAGAAAAATATTGAACGGTTCTTGAGTTATGCTCCGGAAACGAAGCCCACCCCTCCCTTTTGAGATTAAGTTCAACTCGTTTCCATGGAAACCAAGAAAAATAGAAATGCCAAAAATCTGCAAACACCACTTAAGGTTCTGTTTGATATATCTATCAAGTTTTGTTGAAAAAATATTGACGGAACCAATCTCTCCTTTTTGAGACCAAGTCCGAAGCATTTCCATGGAAACCGGGAAAAATAAAAATGCCAAAAATCTGCAAATAGCAAAAGGCACCACTTAAGGTTCTGTTTGATATATCTACCAAGTCTTGCAGAAAAATACTCAACGGTTTCTGAGTTATGCTCCGCGGAAACGAAGCCCACCCCTCTTTAAGACTAAGTCCATGGAAACCGAGAAAAATAAAAATGACAATAATCTGTAAATAGCAAAAGGCACCACCTTGGGTTATGTTTGACATATCTACCAAGTTTTGTTGAAAAATATCGACCGGTCTTTGAGTTATGCTCCGGAAACCAAATGATTACGGACGGAAGTACGGACGGACGGACAGACAGACGAGGCGACGACTATATCCCACCGCATTACATGCCGGTGGGTTAAAAAGGCTTTGTTTCCACAAACAAATTTACTCAGAAGTCACTTTTCCATTAATTATGTATATCTCAGATGTTGTAAGTATGACTTCATAATTTCTTATAAGAATGTCTGACAAAGAATGATTACATTGTTTCCTCAACGGCATATGGCCTCATCTTAGAATAATCTATTGAATATAAATCTCACTGTAGTACCTTTGAGCAGATGACATGATGCAATGGCAAGCTTAGCCATTAGAGTACGGCTTTCTTCAATATATAGCTGTAACTGTTTAATCAATGAGTTTTCATCTTGTTCAACTCCATGGTGCAATAGTGCCCAAGACAACACAGTCATAGTGCTTTCAGAAATACTGTGAATGATCATTTTCCTGAAATTGAATAGGTACCTGTCTAGCAATTGTCACACAGGTTGCTTGCAAACTGTGGCATTGCAGCATCTAAAGAAATCTAAGTTTGTTAGTATCACTTAGTTGATCATAATCAGGAAAGCATGAGAGTTCAAAGTGAAATGCACTGTTACACAAGTATAGTTCTACTGTTAAGGGATCAATGGACAGCCAACTGCAACATGAAGTTCTTGAGGGCATTTAGAAGTTGGGCAAACATGAATACATGACATGTTTTTATGGCTAACAACTTCTGTTTATACTTCAAAGACGTTTCAGAGCTAATTCTTGCTGCTTCATCAGGTGAATGATGAGTTTCAGAGCTAATTCTTTCTTCTTCATCAGGTGAATGATGAAGAACAAGAATTAGCTCTGAAACGTCGTATACAGGTATACCTGATTACTGAAGGCAAAAAAAGATGTAGGTGAAAGTGGATGGTACATGACCATCAGACTTAATGGTCTACTTTTACCAACCTTCTTCTGCAGTAACTTGGCTATAGTCAGATGTGCAGGAACATGGTCTGGCTTGGACTTGAGAGCCTTTCGGTACCAGCGTTCTGCCGTCGCCAGGTCCCCCCATCTTGCTGTACACCTCACCTGAACACATACAGACATATGAACAGAGACATCCCAGCCAATTAACACCTTACATAGAGGATATTATATGAGTGCCCATGTCATACTATGTTTACGACAGGAGTGCCTAAATTTTGGTATTTCCCGAGCGAAAGCGAGGGATATTCCGATATTTAGGCACTAGTGTTGTAAACATAGTATGATATGGACACTCATATAATTTTCTGTTTATTACCAAAGTCGTCAAATTGAGGAAAATAACCCCAAATCTACTTTCAAGCATAGGCTGGCTACCTGCCGTTGCCTCATGCAGAACGCAACGTCACAGAAAAAACGTGACGTCATAGCATTGTTTATGACGTCACGTCACCATGACAAAGTGATATTTTGCCCTAGGGCATCGTATGAAAAATATGAACCCCGATATTTTCGCCTTCGTAGGTAATAAAAAAAGTTTATTCCACTAAACTTCACAGTTAAATTGGTTGTTTTTACAATGAAAAAGGCACATTCTGATCACATGTATTACTCATGTGAAATGGACAACACAATGTACTGGGAGGCCCCCCACTGACAACACACAAGACCATATAAAATATGCAGGCAACACTTCATATCTGAAATGAAACCCTACAAACCTATTCTATTCCAAAATTGTCACAATAACAGTGTGCATAACTTCAGGTATAACCTCCATACATGGTAGCCATAAATTCTGTATTTTGTCGGTCCTCTGGGTATAAAATTGGCAGATGTCCTCTTCACTGTCATATCTAATCCCTCTTGAAAGAAATAGTATCACCAGCCTAAATGCAAGAGATGGAAAACACCACATCTTTCCAATAACCAACATTGTCTAGATGCTGATAAATTTGGAAAGTGGAATGCACTACTCCTGATGTTGAAATAGTCCTTGGAATACAATTCTTTGTTTACATCATAGCCAGAGGTCACTACAGTGACTCACCAGTTCTATGGTGTCAAGTCAAGGTCATATGAGATCACCTCAAGGTTCACTTCCAGCATCACTTCCACCTTTTGATGTCACATCCAGCTTTGACAGCACTCCAAAACCGGTGTCTGTTGTACTGTATCTCTGTTCCAGATCTTATCAAGTGAGTCTGACTGATCTAATTGGGCTGACCAATGATGAACTGGCATACATGCTACATAAGGTTATAGCTGCTTGTATCTCAGGAAAAGGGAGAACAGAGTCTCCAAGAACATGTTAAATGTCACACAAGTCAAAGTTTGAGACTGTCCTGTGGGAACTTCACTGACAACAGTGCAACTTGTAGAAACAACTTGCAGTATGTAACACAGTTATAACACCCTAATTGTAAGGATTTTAAATCGCATACAACTAGTTGCAAATGTGTTGTAAGATAGAAATAATTCCCACGACAAACCACAGGCTTTTGACCTGGGTGCCGTTCCACTAACCGATCTTAACTAAGATCAACTTTAGGAAGTTATGCCAATTTTACAATAGTCTTAGCTAAAAGTTACACCCGTTCCACTGACCGATCTTAGGTCAATCGTAGCTGGTCCCGATCTTACGATCCGATCCTAGCTAAGATCAAGATTATTTGGGCGAGAGATAGAAAAGTGCGAGGCACAAGTTATCTCCCTTTGCATAATGATGGAAGTCATTTTGGACTGACTGACTGACTGAGTTTAGTTTTACGTCGCTTTTAGCAATATTCCAGCAATATCACGGCGGGGGACACCAGGAATGGGCTTAACACATTGTGCCCATGTGGGGAATCGAACCCGGGCCTTCGGCGTGACGAGCCAACGCTTTAACCACTAGGCTACCCCACGGCCCCTAGTCATTTTGGAACCAACTGTAAACTCGGAGAAGAAACTTCAAGCGAGAAAGAGCAAATGTTCTCCTGAGGAAATATCCATCCTGGTTGACGAAGAGGTCCACCATCACTCCCTTTTGTCTGCTTCTTTCAGACCAGGAGTGACAAAGAAATGTTGCGCTTGAGTCAGTATACCGAGAGTTTAGTTATAAATTCCATTTAATGCATAACAACAATAGCATCAACCATCCTACCTCAGGGATGCATCACATACCACCTGCACATTAATGGCATGGAAGCCTTTTCTGCACACAAAAGCAGCTTCTTCGTCAGCAGAGGGATTCGTGATCGGGATCAAAGTCCCATCAATAGCACCAATCACCATAGGAAAGCCTGCGCGTTTGAAAAAAAATCACTTTTCGTACTCATGATACTCCCGCGTGTCTGGTCAAAGGAAATATTATCCAACGCATTACATATAGCCTGAATGGTGGGATGAAGCAGCCTAGATACGCTTGACTTAGATATCCCATTAACATCTCGCAGTTCAACTAAAGGACAACCTACCTAAGAAATCTTAGGGTAGTCAGCACCTTCGTTTCAAGGGAAAGTGAGTGTGAACGCTGGGTATCTGGCATAATATGTGGCTGAACCTTGTCGATCAGCATGAACAAGGCGTGACGAGGCATCCTGTACCTCGCCACAAGCACATCATCTCATAATGTATCTAGAATCTGAGATTGGTCTCGAAACACATGCTCATGGTGTAATGCTCGCTCTTCCTCTTCACATACAATAATGACAGCAGCCATTTTGGTTTCTCTACGATTTATTTTAGCGATCCTAAGTTGGTCATGAGCAACTTCGACTTTGGATCTTAACTTTACGATTGACTTGGGTAAGATCGGTTAGTGGAACGGTATGCCGATCGTAATGTCACGCTAAGATTGGGATTTTAGGGGTTTACGATTGGCGTAGGGCTAAGATCGGTTAGTGGAACGGCACCCTGATCACCTTGACCTATGTTCACCTCAGAAGGAAGTCCCTTTGCTTGTGTTGACATCATGTTGGAGACACTGAGCAGTGTTTTGCCTAAGAATCCAGCTGTACACCCACAGTGATTTTTCCTACTTTCTTCCTCTTTAGTGACAGTGATGCATATATCCTGACATTAATGCTATTGTCTCTTCCTCACTTGTCCATGTTGCCGAGACTCTGCAAGATATGAGTTGTTTGTGATGTAAAAACTGCACAAAAACCAAAGTTATTACGATCTCTGTTACTACAAGTCCTTTGCTACACATTGTTAAGTCTCACTGTGAGAAGGCGACTTCTTAAGGCTTGGATTTTATGAGCTGGAAAGCTGAGCATGTTGGAAACTGTCAGTACCTTCCAGCCATAGTAGTCTTGGTAATGTCTGATGAAATCTTGCTGGATATGGACAGTTGTTTCCTGTTTTCTATGTCCTTCACTGGGTGTAAGATAGTGCTTCAGAGCTCTTATGGGCACAGGGGTCCATCAGGAGCATAATCTATGTTCCCTGAAACCTGAAAGAGTGTTGCTATAGGGATAAGTCGCTATAGTCAAGATGTTTCCATTACATTCTTCCAGTAAAGTTGACAATACAATGGACTGGTTCCATTAAGGAAGGCACATGGAGTCTTGGCATCTTGTTGGTAGAACATGAGAAATGTTCTGTTTGTCCAGACTGGACATATGCACTTTTGTGAGCATTCCTTCTAAGAGAGACCAAGATGGAAACTTGTAGACCACAGGCCTTCTACACTCATGGGTAGGGTGACTCCTTCTAGATGTAGCAAGTCTGCAACTAGATTGACGTAAATAGTGACAATTTCATGCGGTTAGTTAAATATGATGTATGTCTCAATAAGTGAAAATAGGGTTTTCAGCCTTCACAAGGTGCGATATACATTGTATTTGACAAAAATAAATATAGTGTATTTATTATATACATTTTGATCCAAAATACCACCTTTACAATAAGTTGTCATCAGCTATCAAAGTTGTATTCTCAAGCACCACCATTATCAACAGAATGTGCCCAAATTAGTTCCTAGTTAAAAAACTTAACAAATAAAACACACAGACTTCCATTTATCTTCCATTATATCTGTCTTTGATATTCTGATTTTGGAAGACAAGAGTCATCAGAAGATGACATATCTCCCTGGCCCCAACATATTTGAAAGAACAAATCATCTGAGAGTTACTTAAAGTCCAGCTTGACTTTATTTTAAACTAAGTCCGAATCGTTTCCATGGAAATCATGAGAAATATAAATGCCAAAAATCTGTAAATAGCAAAAGGCACCATTTCAAAATTTGCCTAATAGATCTGCCAAGTTCTGTTGAAAGATACTGAATGCTTGTTGTGCCCCGGAAATGAAGCCCACCCCTCCCTTTTGGGACTAAGTCCTAACCGTTTCCATGGAAACCGGGAAAAATAAATATGACAAATAGCAAAAGGCACCACTTTGGCATCTGCCTCACATATCTGCCAAGTTTTGCTGAAAGATATTACAGGGTTCCCACAGGCATGGCATGCCAAAATTCCCTGACTTTTCCCTGACAAGTATAGATTTTCCCCTGACCATTTAAGTGTAAAAACTGGCCTCCTTCCTCCCTTTCAGTCAGTCCTAACCACCCTGTTAAGATATTTCCTTCACACATATCATAAATACACACAATATTTGTTAATTTATTACATTAACCAAAACATTGATATTTGTGATGAAGAAAATTTTCCTTGACTCTCCTGCCACAATGTTACATAATACTATTAGAAACATTTGACCGTGACCATCAAATATATATTCTCATGTGAAGTCAGTAATATATCATCTGAAAACTTTGTATTTTATATTAAAGGCTCTTGACAAAGAGCATAAATGTGACACTAATGATTTAATTGAATTGTTTCATTCAAAGTCAGGAACACATTTCTTCATTATCACAAAATGTTGTAATTATCAAAGGCGTATTTGGAAAGAATAAACATGCAAGATGTAACTTTACATTCAGTACAACCATGACAACTAGATTATGAACATCATTAAACCACTTTCAATTTTGTGAATAAACAGCAAATGTCAGAACATAGGGCATATTATAAACCTATGCTGTACTTGAACAATATTTTTGGCCAATATTGGCTTTCACAATTTGAAGAAACCACCATAGCCATCACACTATTTATAATATTTTGGAACAGTATACAAATGAATGGAAAATTATCTGTTAACATAGTTATCTTTAGAAGAGGTGGATCTGTTGCCTATAAAGAAAAATGTTTTTGAATGGCAAACAATTATCTATTGTTAATCACTATGCCTATCTTGAATTATGTTTTTCCATATTAAACATGAGTCATCAGAAGATGACAAATCCCCCAGCCCATACAAATATGAAAGAGCAAATCATCTGACAGTTACTTAAAGTTGAACTGCATTTGTTTAGACAAATTCCAATATGTTTCCATGGAAACCACGAAAAATAGATATGACAAAAATCTGTAAATAGCAAAAGGCACCACTTTAGGTTCTGTTTGATATATCTGTCAAGTTTTGTTGAAAAATATCGAACGATGTTTGAGTTATGCTCCGGAAACAAAATGATTACGGATGGACAGACAGATGGGCAAGGCATCGACTATATCCCCCCGCATTCATGCTAAGAAGGCTCTTATCAAATTTATGTCAGTTTCCCAGAATTTTTGAATTTTAACCCGGAAAATATGTTTCATATTGTTTGATTCACAAATCCAACCGATTGTGCTTCATAGAAGAATATGTCTGTTATGTCACCCGGCTGTAGAAGATAAAATTCACATTATGCTGATTTAAGAAAACAATACATGCCAAATA